TCTCTCTCTCTCTCTCTACCTCGTTTCTCTCTCTCTCTCTCTTTGGAATTTATTTATTTTTATGTCACGAAGCTGACAGGTGTTGGTACTGGTTTTTGCGCTGTGTGCAGGCCCATTATGGCGTACTTGAAGCAGCTGCATGAGGACTTGAAGAAGCACTTCATTAATGAGGGTGCCGCGGGGTCAAACCCGGGCAAGGGTTCCAAGCACTGGGTCTGCAAGTACTGCGAGACCCGGTTCGATGGCACAGCCTCGGTTCTAAAGAACCATTTCTTGAATAGGTGCAGCTTGGACCGCGTCAGGAGGCCGCTGTCAGTCGAGGAGAGGGCTAGGAGGGAGGAGGGCATCCGCATGGGGAAGTTCATTGCGGAGACCATACACGCGGGGGGGAGAAGCAGGCCGGCCACAAACAGCCTGGCGTCCGTTAGCAGTCTGGTCGCTGACGCCGAGCAAGGTCGCACTGAATCGCCTGCAGGGACGGGAGAGGCGGTTGTGGGCGATCAACCCGCAGCGATTCCGCCTACCTCTGGCGAGTCCGTGCAGCCTGCACCTCGTTCCAGACGGCCGTTGAGGCAGACGGTCATGGAGGACGCCGACAGCATCGTAACACGCAATGAGCAAACGAGTCGGTTCCTTGACCGATTCCTTTTCTGCACGAACCAGCCGTTCAGCATCGTCGACAACGAATACTTCCTTGAATTCGTTGATGCTGTGAAGAAGGCGCATCCTTCATGGATGCCATACAAGAGGGATGAGGCGCGGACGAAGCGGTTGGATGGTCATTACGGAAGGACAAAGGTGGACGTGCACGCCATGGTGAAGAAGTGGCATCGCACTGGTTGCATGCTGCAAATGGATGGCTGGTCAGACAGGCGCAACCGACCGTACATTAATGTGATGGTGTCTTCCCCGATCGGAATGGTGTTCTGGAAGACCACATGCATGGAGGGGAAGGAGAAGGATGTGGCGGCGTACTTCCGGATATTGGACGGAGTTATCAAGGAGATCGGCGAGGAGGCGGTGGTGGGCGTTGTGATGGACAACGCGAGAGTGTGCGTCAAGGGCGGCAAGATGGTGGAGGCGGCCTACCCACGCATCTTTCGCGTGGGGTGCACTGCACATGCCCTCAATTTGGCACTCGAGGACATGTACAAGGAACTGGAGTGGTTACGCAATGTTGTGGACACAGGGTTGAAAGTGGGCAAGTTCTTCCACAACGTGGACAAGGCAAGGGCGTTGTTCCACGTGTACAGCCCGAAATCCAAGTTGAAGCGGCCGGGGGTGACCCGTTTCGCAACCAACCACAAGATGCTCGCCTCCTTGAAGAAGGCCAAGAACCCGTTGAAGAATTGCGTCGACGACGCTGCGTGGGTGGAGAAGATGGTCAGGACAGACCAGCTCGGTGCGTTCCACGAGGTGACGGCCATTGTGTTGGGGAAGGACGACTTCTGGGCGACAGTCGACAAGGCGCTGGCGGTGATAGGACCAGTAGTGACGCTGCTTCGTCTTGTTGATGCGCCGGGGCCGTCCATGTCGAAGGTGTACTTCAAGATGGATTCGCTCGTCGCACGGATGCGCGAGCTTGATTGCATCACGGCGGGCGAGAAGGCGGAAATAGAGGACATCTTGATGCGGAGATGGGCGTTCATGACCAGCGAGCTGCATTGCGCCGCTGCGTTCCTCGATCCCGAGCACCGTCACACGAATGTCTTGCGAGATCCTGAGGTGTGCGCCAGATTCAACATTTGGCTTCTCTCATGGGCGCCGGACGACCAGCAGACACGCGACGAGCTGAGCCACCAGGTTGACATGTGGGTTAACCTGGACGGATCGTTCAAATCGCAAGACGCTGCGGAAGCAGCACGTGTGCAGCCCGTGGCTCTGTGGTGGGAGGCTTACCGGGAAGTTGGGCCTGCTCCAGCCACAAGCAGTCAAATTGCTGGGCCAGGCAAACTCCTCCGCCGCATGTGAGCGGAATTGGAGCTTGCACGAGCTTATTTTCGGGCGCAGGCGTACGAAGTTGCTGCCGGAGAGGCTGTGCAAGTTGGTTTACAGCAACTGGAACACCCAGTTGTCGCGGGCGGCCTTGTGGGGAGACGGGGGTGATGTGCACATTCCATGGGAGGACGACACGCTGGTGGAGGCAGAGATCAGGGAATGGTACAACACATGAATAGCAACGGCCATTGACCCCGCTGCTGTTGCCGCCGATGCCGATGTGGTGGCCGAAGACATGGAGGTGGGTGAAGAGGACGGTTCGGAGCCATTGATGTGGACGTGGCAGCGAAATGATGCCGCGGACAACGAGGAATGCGACAAGGAGGACATGGCTCTGTTGGGTTCGTTGGAAAGGGAATGGCACGAGTGCACCAAACCCGGCCGACGGGAGTCAACCAATAGGCAAAAGCGTGTGACGAAAAGAGCGCGAGCGGCAGGCGAGGCGGGAGGGGATGAAGCTGAAGTGTGCGCGCCCCAGCCAAAGAAGAAGAGGGGTCGACCATCGTTGGCTGAAGCTGCAACAAAGAAGGCTGAGCTGGCAGCAGCCAGGGCTGCTAAAGCAGCAGAGAAAGCAGCCGACAAGGCCCAAAAAAAAAAGAAAAAGGTTGCCTCCGTCGATGTGATCGAGGACGACCTGTCAGGGGACGATGAGTCCTCGTCCAGCTCGTCTGAAGACACGAATGAGGGAGACAGCGGAGAGGAGTCTGATGAACACTCTTTGCTGGAGGGGGGAGCGGAGGGCGAGGACATGGAAGAATCCAAGGCCGGGTCCGAAAAAAGCAATGGTGAAGAATCCGAAGATGAAGGGGCGAAGGTGTAGGACGGGGGCAGACTGAACGCGGGGTGTGATGGTTTTGGATTCTGCCCATTGTCGGAATTTTCTTTGCTGAACTTTGTTTCTGAGTTTTTATGAAGTTGTTTCCTTTTCTGTGCTTTGATAAACTTGCAAACGACTATTGGCCCGATTGTGAACTTTTTTTGAAGTTTTTTTTCAGCTGGTTTGTTCCCACCACATTGTCCAGCAATGTCTTTTTTAACTGTTGTCAATTTGTAAAGGGCGGGTCTTGCCGCTCGTCCAATGCTCACAGTGGTCTGCTGATGCTATCCCCATCGTCGTCTGTTGAATGTTGTGCATGTTGTGCTGTGTTGCTGTCTGGTCCGTTGCTGATAATGGACGACACCTGCAGGTATGTTCTTTTCCGACACCCTCTGTTATGGAATTGTGTTCTGATGCTTCTGCAACTTGTGCTGCAACGTTGTCTGAATGTGTGCATCAACCTGTCTGAAAAGACTCTGTATGTGCTTGTTGATATGCTGTTCGTTCGAATCCTCCAAGTCAGAATGTGCTGCAACGCTGTCTGAACGTATGCAGCACGTGGGAGGACGACACGAGCCGCAGAGGTCTGCAGACTCTGCACAGTTGTCCAAACCCACGCACGTAACCCACACCACAGCTGTGCGGACACAGAATGCCCCTACCTCGCCCMMCCCCMCCCCCCCMMMAAAAAAAAAAAAAAAMARSMSGSCGCATGGCGCGCACCACCCCCAACGCTGTCCCGCACAAGCGCGCGCAGCGCAGCACAGGGCAGCGCATGTGCAGAACCTCCTGCCCCGCGCAGCGCACGTCCGCATGGCGCACAGCTGCAGTGCGCCGCAAGTATGGCTAAAACCTATACACAACAAACATCCGCTCCACAGTCGAGTTGAAGCCCATACACAACAAGCCTACAAACAAGAAACATCCTCTCCAAAGTTGAGACTTGCAAACAACCAACCTTGGAACAAATAAAATATCCGCTGGGAAGATGAGCCTATACACAACACCCAATCGATTGCGAGATAGTAGACACCAAACAGCGATCATCCATCCACCCTATACATCACAACAGGGAGATGGATGGTCTCCAGTTGAGCCAAGTTTTTTTTTTTTTTTTTTCCAAGGATGACCTGGAAAGTAGAACCAAGCAAATTTCAATAGACTGCCACAGCAGTCACCCACTACCCGAAAGCTACCAGAAAGAGTCACAGCAGAAATGGAAGAAGAGAATTGCGAAGGCTTTTGTGGAATAAGTCAAATAAAGGTAAATGACCTCCAGTTGAGCCCCGTTTTTTTTTGTTTTTTTTTTCTTCCTTTCTTTCTTTCTTTCCGAGGATGACTTCGAAACTAGAACCAAGCAAATTTCAATAGACTTTTTTTTTTTTTGGGAGGATGCCTGGAAAGTAGAACCAAGCAAATTTCAACAGACTGCCACAGCAGTCAACCACTACTCGAAAGCTACCAGAAAGAGTCACAGCAGAAATGGAAGAAGAGAATTGAAAAGGATTGTGTGGAATAAGTCAAATAAAGCTGAAATTGATAATGCTGAAATGGGAGAGGGGAATACCAAGAGAGCAAAGAACTGAGAGAAGGGGAACAAGAAAGGAAAGAACGCTCATTGCTTACCCACATACTTGAGAACGCCTGTCGACAGCCGAATAGAAAATCTGGTCATTTTAGCTATATTTAGGGCGGCTTTCAGCCTAGGACTCCAGGTACGGTGATAATGACCGTACATTCTATTCAGGGGAGAATGGGGTGAATGCCTTGCAGGTAGCAGACATTTCACAATATCTAGCGAAGAGATCCACTTCGGCAAAAAACAATACAGTCAAAACTCAGGGTCTTCTATACACACCCATGAGTGGTCTGTGATCCAACCGCCCATAAGAGTTTGAACCCTGGTTGATGCAACGATGATGGTAGTGCCTACCCTTCCGCAGAAAGGAAGAAGTGGAGAACGAGAAAATGGAGGAATAACGAGCGAAAGCAGAAAGAGTAAAAATTTTAAACCTCTTACATGGATTGAATTTCAGAGCAAAGCACTATCGCTTCTCTAAACACCACCTTGACCAAGTGCTTGGAGGCAGACATGCTCTTTTATACTTCAATTTCTTGAAAACATTTGTTTTCCTTTCTCTTTTTTCGTTGAAAACATAAAGTCGAAAAATTGGAGAGTAATGGACCTTTAACTTCCGCAATCTGGTGGAGAGGACAAGCCAATTAACTTACGCGATTGCTGCTCCGTCTGATGTTGCCGTTCCTCTGCCAAGCTCGTCCAGAGCGACCAGTGAATTTTGAGTTGCGCAACGCTGAGACAGGCAGTCAATCACAATAACAATTGAACCAATACAATCTAATAATAAATACCAAATACTAACGACAAAAGCAACATCCCGAAGGGTCCAGAACCTTTTCCTTTCCGTTTTCATGGACCACTGCACAGTGAGAGATGAACAATCGACCCTTTCTGTTTCGGGGCTGCACACGCAGCAAAGCATACAACTTTGAAACTTCAGAAGGACAAAATCCACAGGGAGTCAACAATCCTTCACAATGCAGCAAAGCTATATTAAAAAGGCGATAGCCTAAGAACGTACAACTCACAATAATATTTTCAAGAATTAGCAATTAGGTAACAAAAGGCGAAATGTACCTGAATTGCTGGTGGATGAATGATACAAGTATTACACACTATCAAATGTCACAACCCGGTAGAGAACTCCAGTATTAAAATATAGTAACAAGTACTAATAACTTGAAACAAAAAAAAATGGAAATTGGTAATTACTAATTACAAAGTATGAACTACGAATTGCGAGGCTACGCCCGCTTAGCCCCTACGGGGCCCTATCTGCAACAAGGT